CACAATACGGGCTCGGCGACCTCGGCGGTACTCCAGCTAGGCGGGGGCCAATGGGCCCCAACAGACGTGTACCAAAGACAGGACTAATTTAAATGTAATGTAAAAAGTTACGATAACGCGAACTAACAATAAGCCAAAATTAAAAAATGACGTAAGGCAAAGTAATCTCAAGAAGATTCGATGCAATAATTAAAGCGACAGTTATGCATTTAAAAAAACCAAGACCAAGACCATTCGACATCGTTGCCTTAACGTCATCGTCCGCCGCACCGTAGCTTTCGTTCGAAAACATTTTACCCGCGATAATAATTGATAAAGCAATTTAAAAAACGATCTTTACGACCAACTCGACGACTCTCGAGTACCGAACCATTGAGCGAGTCGACGCGACGGTCGAAATGAAATCGCGTATACTTTTTCATGTTCTAGGAATCGAAGATGATCTATAAATATATCGTGAACGTAACGGCCGCTCCGGCAACAGATTTCGTTCGAAAAATAAGTATTTATCTCTCGCGTAATGGTATCTTAAAGGAGATATTCCAATCGTTTGGAACGAAGCGTATACGAAATTGCTGCGTCTCGCCTTACGGTAACGCGACGTTTGTTTAGAAATTGCCATTCTGGCGAGCGCGAAACGCGTACGAAGATCTCGTCCTCGTAGGGGCCGAAGCAATAATACAGATTCTCTCTCGCGATCCTATTCGCTCTCGCGATGCGAAAGAATAACGAAAATTTGATGATAGCGACATGCAAACGACGCTATTGTCGTACAAGAACGAATCGAAAGCTCCTCGTTTCGCATCGGAGGAAACGCGTTTACCGAGAAGACTTTTACGCGCCGCGGCGACAGTCGCTTGACGATTGTCGATATTTTTTTAGCCAGCTGATTCGCGACGAGAAAAACGGCAAAGTTTAATTCGTAGAGTTTGACGTTTTTCTACTTAAGAGAAGAGTTGGATGTCCGAACAGATTTCAAAGTTAATTTTTGAGATAAACGTTTGGACGTCCGAGTACCTGGCAACCGAGCGTACCTTAAACAATGCGAGGTAAAATGCTCGGCTGTTCCGCACATTTTAATCAGGACAAACTGCTATCAAAGGTACGGACGCCGAGTAAAAATGTCATCTCGCTGCAGGGGTTATCGTCTTTCGTAATCGGAAATCTTTACGCGTCCCTCGTTCCAGGCTAGCAAACGCGTCTCTGGTGATTACACCGTTTACACGAACCATTTCCGACGGTTTAATTAAGACGAACCAACGTTAAACCCAACCATCTCTTTCGGTATCGCTCCTAATTTCTCACGTGCGATGTATCGTTTACGGGATCGTCGAAAACGATCGGTGCGATTTGCGAATGCACAGCGCATTATTTCTAGTTTTACGCTTCGAGTGTATGCGTACGTATTATATATACAATAGATACATACACACGCCTATCGTTTTAGATTAAATAGGATATATTCGAGAGCAACGGTGGAAAGGTTGCACTTGGGATAGCCGCCCTCGGGGGCTGTAGCGGTGTTTTTTGAAGCTACGGTACGGGCTTAGCAATCTCGACGTACCGGAGCTAGAGAGAGGCCAACGGGCCCCTATAGATGAGAAGTAAGAGATACTGCAAACAGTATTAAAACAATGGACGAGTCGTGTAAGACGCATGCGCGTGTAGAATGAAGAAAGAAAATGCAAATGTAAACAAATAGAGAAAGCGGTAGTGAAATAGCTTTGTCAATTATAAAAAGCTGATCACTTCAATAAACGACTGAACTGAACTAAAATTGGAATAGCCGTGGAATAACAGATTCGAGCCTCGAGGTCTCGTTCCATCTCGGCATTGCACGAAACCAGCTTAAATAGTCCAGCGATGCGACGATAACGCAACAAGTAAGACGGTAATATTTCGTCGAAATGTCTGCAGCATAATATCTACTTGGGAAGTTTGCTCGGCCAAGTTCTCAATCTGCTTATAATACAATTACCGAGACGCATGAAATTCGAAGAAGGTTGACGACCTGGATGGCAAACAGGCATGTACAAGTAGCCTGCTCACTTGTTTTCCATGGAATTGCATAAGGAATCCGGATGAGAGATTTCGCGGTAAAATAATATCCTCGAAACGTCGGCGTCGCGTCGTGTCGTTTCCAACAGCGTGTAAATAAAGTGCTCGCGATATCCGTTTAGGATAACTTTGGAATTCATTGGGATCCGTTTGCGCGCACAATCCGCAGCGATTAACTGGACCGTGCTTTCGAATCACGTTCATATCTCGCGTCAGTAACACGGGCAACGCGCGTATTTCGCGCGTCACAGAAAAATGGCAGGATGAATAATTGCATCGATTTCTAGCGTATACGTGCATATCCCCAAACGTGCACTCGTAATGATCGTTAAACGCGTTATCTGGCCTGGCTCGAACTGGGCTGGCCGTTGAATCGCAATAAGTACGGGCGCGAAACGCGGAAAAATTCGAGATAATGAATCTGACACCGTGTTACGCACGCGTCCCCCGCTTTTCCAGCCTTAACGAACCGATTATCGTTATTAACGCGCTTTATTGGCAGGTGAGACCCGAGGGATCGTTTTCCGGCGCTCTCCGTTCTCTCTCGTTTCGATTCTTTTTCACTCGTTCGGGACTTTCCACGCTCGAGTACCACTTTCGAAGCCCGAACGAACGTTAATTCCTCCGTTGTTACGAGCAAACGTTACGATACGAAACGTGCTTCCGTTATACGAGATTTTCTTCCCTGCAGCTGGATCTTTTCGCACCTGGACTTCTCCTTTCTATCCATGTAACCGGAGCTTCTTTTTACAGTAATTTACCACGATGCGACAGCAAACTTGGATCGTTTTCTTTCGAGTCTCGCGTATTTTTGCTCTTTACTATAGAACAGTTTGCTATAGAGTATCGCGTCTGTGTTGGAGCAATCAGAATATCAAAATTAATCGAAAGGCGTGCGGTCGAAGGCTCTGGTATAAAACATAAAAGAATCTAGAAAATATAAGTTGTCTTTCGTGTCTGTCGCATAATTTTAATGTTAAACTTGAGTAAAAATACTTGAGTATTATCAAGTGTAAGCACATCGATGCACGAGCCAAGGATTTCCGCGAGAGTCCGGTGGATTTGCGAAACCAGCTACCCGGAAGATAACCGATATTCGCAGCCCTTCGTCGGCTTTGTACATTCCCCAGCTCGCGCTGGAGCTCGGCTCTGCTCGGCTCGGCTAGGCTCGGGTCGAAGAGCTTTTCATAATCGTTCTTTTGTTTTTCGCCTGCTCGCGGAGCAACTTGGAATTCACGCGTCGTTTGCGTCGGCGTTGGGCCAGCTCGTCGCTGAATTATCGTCGGAAATCCGCGCGTGGAAGTAATTACTCTCTTCTTGAAGTTGAACCGCGTGCACGGGCAATTAATCACGGCCTTTGCTTATCATAATTAATTGCAGCGGCGCAGAGGAAAATCCGCGATTATACTTCGTTCGGCATCGAGTCGCAACGAATTCTTCTCATCGGGGAATTCTTTTTCGTAGCGCGATTGGTTCAACTTGGAAATGTTCGAGCACTCGATCCGAATCCGCGGTAATCCGTCGAGAAACACGCAAAATTATTGTACGCGTATTTAATACGTAATACTACGTAGCTGGTTGGATCGCGATAGATTTTGCCGTGACGCGTACACGTGAAACGCTGAACTTGGTCCGTCGAACGCAAACGAAACAGTATCGTTGCCTAGATAGTAGACACGTATGCAATCCTGGGTTAGATAAACTTGGAGCAGGATCGCGACCTATCTTGACGGAAAGGCTTAAAATCTGCCCCTGGACAGCGGACACACGAGTTCGATGCGATGCGATGCGCACGCCGCTATCCCTAGCAAAACTGCAGCGACTAGGCTGCGCCATTAACCGATTAGATGTGCTTGCAGGATAATTGCCCTTCAACCCCAAACTCCTGTTTTACGCAACTATTTGCTCGACGATTATGTCGCTTTTACGTCGATTCGTGAAAGCCTTGCTCCGTGCTTCACCGCGACCACTAATTGAGATTTTATCGATGGTTAAACGCGCTGGATTTTCGACGGTGTGCCTCGAGATTCGGACGATGTTAATTACTCTCGCGTTAACGATAGCGTGCTAACGGATTCCGAGTATATCCGCTGGTGTTGGGTTGCGCGTTATCGGTGCCGTTCAAAACGAACATAGACGATCTTTAACTTGTACGAATATCGCTGAAATTTAAATGCCTAGCTGTACCGCCCGAACGACCGTTACCTCGAAACGAACACGAATCGTGTTTCTCGTCTAGTCCAGTCGTGAAAAGTAATTTCAAGTTTCGTCCAACTCTTCCTTCTCAATCTCCAACTATTTCGATTAAACCTGAGAGCAATGAGAGGAATATGTTCCATTCCTTCGTAAACCCACGCGTTTACTCGTCGCGTATCTCGAATTTCAAAGCTACGATGACCGCCCAACAAATCAATTTCTTAATTTCTCAATTTGAAATAATCTTGATCTCGGCCAAATATCGATCTCGAATGTTACAAGTAATCATCGATCTCGAATCACGTCTCGAAATCAAGACGAGATCGAGATTTATCTCGCCACGTGCGCGTCACTGATCGCCACGGCTACGTTAAGAATTCAACGAAATGAACATAGTGAAATTTTGTAATGAACCGAAAATTCGAAAGTTAGAAAGACTAGAAAGCGATAAATTTCCAGGCGCGATAACGGTTGCTGGACCGTGTACCGCGATATTCATGGTTACTAGCACCTCATAGGACACGCCACGCCGGGGACTATAATTGAGATTTTATCGGCCCGTTAAACGCTACGAAGTTCCGGTGCAACACGTGCCAAAGTTTGCACAGCACGGCAGCTCTGTGCGGCTGAACGCGCCTCGGTGCTTCTTTAAACTCTGCAACTGTACCAAACGGCGCGTTCAACCGTCGCGATTCCCAACGATTTTCCCTGCTGCCGTTTTAATTGGCAAACGACCTCTGTTCCAGACTACAGATCGCCGCAATTTCCTCACCGAGCAGCGCGATGACCGCCACGGGAAGTTTCTCTAGACAACGGCGAAAAATCGGTGAGTTGATAACCATATTAACCCATATTATCGTAATTTTCACTGAAATTCGTTCTTCTTTCTTTCTCCAACACATCACGACGGGATACATTCCGTCATTTTGTACAAGAAATTGTTGCGACTCGTTCATCGAGCAAAAAATGACGAGAAGGATTAATCACGTCCAGACTCGATTCTGCCAAGTAACGGAATATATTTCATTCGAATTACATAGCCAGTTTGATAATGCGATCCTTCGCTCCGGTGAATTCGGAGTTTAAAGGGCGTTTGCTTTTGATAGAGGTTATTGGGCCGGAAACGATGCTTCCGACCTAATAACTTGGTAATCAAGAAACGATACGATTCGAGTATCTTTGAGTTTTTTTTCTCGTCAATCAACGGAACAGTTGATTAATTTCCGATAACGCAACCGTACAATTTTCCAACATCGTTTTATGCGGGGATGCCTAGACGACGCCGACACCGACGGAAACGAGTACGTCCGTCGTCGGGCGAACAAAATATCGAGCACGGAACAAGAAAAGCCACTCGGAAGATAGAGCGTGTTTGGTCGCGCGAACCGCGAACCCTGTTTCTTATGCGTTGGTCGACGGTAATGCACGCGCGTTTCCCAGCTACCGTGAAATACCGTCGGGAGAAGAAGGAAATGTTGCAGCTATGCTGGGAAATTAGTTGCCAAGGTTACGTGGCATGATTACCCCTTCGCATTTCGCATTATTGTTACTTTCTATTGTATATAGCGATAAAATGCAGGTTCTAGCGCAGATGTGCATAAGTATCGGAATGCCTCGACATGCAGACATTTAAGTAGTCGAAGATTTTAACGTTAGCGCACAGGGATATTTAAATATTATTTTTGGGATGTATTCGGAATCCTATTTCAGGGTCTCCTGTAATTCCCTCGATAATCCGTTCGCGGCATTCGAGAATCTATTCCGAAGTTGATCCGGGAGTTTCAATATTCCTTATCCCTCAAACATCACACTTTATATCCTACCTTCTGGAACTTTTAAAAGGGTTCGAAGAGGCTCGCATGCGAGCAACCGCTTACTTCCCTTATTGATAAACTCGTGGAAAAGTCTTGGAGAAACTTTCCGTCGCGGATGTCATATCTATCGCTTGCAATCGAGATCGGGTTTCGGCAAACCTCTCTTGCGATCTCGCATATCCTTTCTTTCAAACATACCTACAAATATTAGATTACAGAGATCGTAAGAATATTTCTGTCGCGAGTGTTCCATGCGTATGAAAAATTACTCGGTCGTACAGCTAGTAACAATACAACGCCAACGAGAGGAACGTAACGCGATGGGCCAGATTTGAAAATCTGGCGCATCCGATGCAAGGAGTTGGTCGTTGTTCCGACTCACCGACTCGATACCGATTACCGACGCGAGGTCGACGCCGATGCTCCGATATATCCCCGGTCCTTTTGGCCGTCCTACTCTCGAGAAATACCTATACGCATTATATTTGAGCCAGCTTTTATCGAATATGTTTAACTTGCACGACGTCGATCTCCGACTGCAACTGTTCCAGCCAGATTATTATTCGATGATATTCCAATGTCTCTTCGATCAAGGTAAACGTTTGCATCGCTGTTGCCTCAAATGCAACGAAACGAGACTAGTAGTTTTCGTTCTAATGAAACGGTACAAGTATTTCGCACTGTTGGATTTTAGTTAAAATCTAATTGTATTTTTAATACGATAGAAAAGATTTTCTGTAGGCAAAACCCCGCAACCAGATGTGGCACCGAGTTCGTCGTCGAACTCGGGCTTTATTGGTGTTGCTAACTGTTTTAGTTTCTGCTCGATATTGTACGCATTCGGTACGTGAGTCTAACACGGCAAGTTAGGCTTAGCGTCATAAACCGTATACGCACAACCTGGACGGTCATCGACGCTGCCATCTACCTGGGCATCGAAGACGACCTGAAGAATAGCCTCGAATTTCGTGCGAAAGTTAGTTCTATCCGCGCTTGTAAACCGAGAGGTTACCTAGCAGACAGTGTCACTCGCAACGTCACATCTTTGTACTTATACTCACCTTGTTTTCTTTCATCCACAACAAATACGCATTGGAACATTACTCTGTTGCCTATATATTTATTCGAACATGAATATCCAACACGCAATTTCGAATGTTGTTCGATTATCCATGAGTTGATATAAGAGTTGATTCGATTCGATTCTATACCAGCAGCTTCCTCTATAGATCTTCCCGTCTGTCCCTTGGTACAAAATTTAGAGCGGCACGGATGAAATTCAAATATTCGCTTAAAGTTGGCGAGAATGGTCCACGTTGATCAGCGAGAATTTTACGATTGCTCCGTATTTAATCGTCGGAAACCCGATGGAAATCTAGAGATACCTATGTCTCCGAGGAAGAAGAAAACTTACGTAGAACTTTCGTTATTCCCTTATCGCGGAGGTAATGTAATTTCGCCAAAATAAATATTGGCGAACAGAAAGTTCTTTTTCCGGTGCGCTTGATACGAGCTCGCGAGAAATCCCGTAACGGATGAGTTCGATCGACGAGATTGCACGCGCCGGGCGCGCACCGATAAACCGACCGTGGACCGACCGTGGACCGAATCCTGGCAACGGGGAATAATCAGCCGGAGAATTCGATCGAAAAGTTCCATTATCGAGGCGAAAATGTCCGTCAGAATAACCGTAACCACTTTCCTTAACAAGGAGCTCTTATCCCGCTACCGTACGCTTAATTGCCGGCCGGGAAATTGCCGAGCGCCTTTTCATCCAACTAATGCCGATCGCGATCGGTTGGCAAACTTGTTAATAAAGAGCGCCCGGTAGCTACCAATTTCTACTTATTCGACGACGTGACGAGAACGAAAACGAGAACGTTCCATGACACGAACGGGAAACATGACATGAATTCTATCCTACGAGTTCTTATGTTTATTAAGTAATATTTGTAAAGAGCCATGCTCGTAACGTCCTGCCCCGTTTCATTTCGTAATCGATAAAGCGCGAACCACGGCAAATTCACAACACCGGAAGATTCACGAGAGGATAGTATCCGCCTATATTGAATTTTTGTTTCTTTTTTTTTTTGGAAAAAGAAAAGTGGATGGAAGTAGGTGGAGGATCGTATGAATAGCGATGGAAGAACTGGCTCAGTTTCAGACACTGTAGTTATACCGGGCCGGGTCAACCTTTGGCTATGCTTTCGACTTCCCAGAAGGATACGCCTTTTTCGTGTCTGGCCATAGCCGGACTTAATTCACTGTTCACTGCCAGTGGTATGGGTATAACTGGTTCGGGCGGCACGCCTTTTTGCAATTAATATCGAAGAGCATTTCGCGTCGTTGTGTGGTTTTTTATACGATATTTATGTAGCATCGACTTTGACCGTAATTGTTCGCGCCTTTATTAACGTTATTCCGGGAAAATATTTCAGGCAACGAAAGGCCTCGATTTTCAGAATAATACTCGATATTCTTATTCTACGATGAGAATAAGATGGCTATAAAGAGATTATTAATTCGCAACGACCACCTAAATGCCGCGAAACTCTAGGACTCCGCGTATCATGGCTCGCGAAACATAGAGTCCGTCAAGCTATCGTGGAATTTTGTCGCATCGCGGGATCTCGATTTTCGGTGTGAGAATCGATCGCATCGAGAAAATTCGGTTACGACTGCTCGGAGCTATAAAAGTGTCGAAATTGTATCGTTCTAAGGGAAATTTGCCTCTTAGTTAAAACTGACTATCGGACGTCGGTGTATCGCAAACCCTCTTTGTTTCGCGTGATTGCACGCTTTTCGAATTCTCTCCCGCGAGGAACGAAAGGAACGCCGCGCCGCTCTTACGGACTCGTCTTGTTCCTTTGCTTTCACCGCTACCTTGCTATCTTAATTTCGAAATTTCGAGATGCCAAACTCCCTCGAACAGCCGCTACTCAAAGCTTTTCAAGTATCGAGTCCATAGTTTACTCCTTGTACAGTTTGCTCCGCGCTTGTTCTTTTCCGGGGTCTAACTGGTGTGGCGCCAATAACTTTTCGGCGAAAGTAACCCTATTTTATGCTATAGATACCCTATTTTTAATGCGAATTAAATAAAAAGTAAAGCGATGCGCATTCGAGAAGGTAAGAATTATTTTTGATATTTTAGCTCCAGCTTGTACAAGATTCGTTGACGCGCAGTAGTAATAGATCGTACCCGTAGCCGTGTACGCGTCACGGGCTCCTTGTTGTTTCAAGTTCCATGTAGACACGCCACGTGTGTGCCTATGACGTTTCCATCCATGTAAGCCGTTGCAACATTGCATACAAGGGAGCGCATTCGACAAGCGTGAGGGCCACGAAATGCATTGGATTAGACGGCCGCCGCTTTTCATGCTAATTCCGTGCCGGAGCCCGCGTTTCGCGGAGAATCATCGTTTCCCTCTCGACAAAGCACTCGGGTACCGTGGCCTGAACAACGATCGCAAACGTATCAGGTTCCCTGGCTAGGCGGAACACAACAAACGAAATATGTAAGCCGTATGGAATCGAAATAGAAATAGAAATATACACGTGCTCCCTGGCTACCTATCAGATCTATCAGAAATGTTCAGTTGTCTTTGTTACGCGCACTCGCGAAACAGAAAAGAACAACTATCGAGTTAATCGGTAATAAATTATTTAATAGTTGGCTCGTTTCGGAAATTTGTAAAAGCCGAATCGACGAGCGTATTGAAAATCTGTTTTTGCGACCCTGCGGCCGTGCCGCAATGTGTTCGACGTGTTGCATCCACGGATCGAGATTGCAACGATGTAACCGCGGTTACCGTCAATTTCGAAACAATGCGCTTTAGCGATATTTAGTTGGATCCCGTCAACGACAGGCGTTGCACCAAATTTACGGTAATGCTTCAACGAGAACAGATTACAGGGAATTGGTTGTTTTGTTCGTGCCGCGAACGAAATTGTTTTTCCCGAGTCTCGTGTTTGCTTTGTAGACTTGGTTGCGGTTGCGGTTGCGATTCGATTC